AGTACTATTATAATAAGTAACATTGCATAATTATAGAATTGTAAAAGTTAATGATGAAATTATAAACATAAAAAAAAATACAAATATTAATATAAATAGAGTATAATAATATATATCACGCAAATAAAATTGTCCTTTTTTACTTACCGGTACCAGACATCAAGCCATCCCTGAAGAGAAGGTATTCCATCGCAGTTGCCCAGTTGAGGGGAGTCGTGTCAGTGTCATTGATAGTGAAGGCCAGCGTATAGGCGACATGATTGTGAAGATTTTTACCTACGCCAGGTAGATCGTGAACAACGGGGACACCGACGGCATTCAAGTCTTCTCGAGGACCGATACCGCTGTTCAAAAGTATCTGTGGCGAATTGACTGCGCCTGCATAAAAAAAACTTTACACTAAAAATGCGGATACAACGATGAAATATTTGCATTACAAAAACGATAGAGTCATAAGACTCGCGAGACCTTGAGGAAACCAGACGAATCACTTTTATGTCGTTTCATTTGTAAACTGAAATACGTGTCTCTCCATCTCTTTTGAGGAACGACGACGTTTAAAGTTAACTTTAGCTTGTTCAAGAGTTCTATGACACTCTTTGTTTTTCATAACCCATGTTAATATTTTATTTAAGGGTGGATAGTAAAATTCTTGAATTACAAGGACATCGTGTATGAAGCAAAAATCTAAAGATGATCATAAGCATGAGAGAGATTCTTATATAATAATTACTAACAGTCCCTTTATAAGAGTCATCAAGGACGCTTTAATCGAGAACATCCTCTTCCGCAGCAATCTTTGCTTCCTTTGCTCTCCGAAAGACACAATTTCTATCATTCCTAAGAATATCAACGTGTAATTATAGTTACGGATCACAAAGAGTAATTTCAATGCGATTAATTACTGTTTGGACGAAGAATGTTTAAACAAAAAAATTGCCTGTGAAAAAGAAAACAATTTATGTAGAAGATTTCGTCATGAACTTTTAAATTTTTACAAATTTGTAATGTGTTTTAATATTTATAAGTATGTTTAATGTTTTTATAATTTCTTATTTGAGAACTTATTAAGCTGTATTGTAAGAATATTTCGTTTCTAAAATTTCGTTTCACAAATTTTCAAATTAAAGATTTTAACCAATTTAATATAATTTTGAATAAATATATATACATATTTTTTTTTTAATTGGTCAAGTTTTGTAATTTTTTTGGGAAAGATTAGCTACTTTTAGAAATATTAGCATTGACAATGTTCGGATCAAATTTTTATTTTTACTATAGAGGTCTATAGTTTAGTAACACGAGCTGAGGTTTTTGTATTATATACGTCACACAACAGAGCAAGTTGTTTTTCTCCAACAAATGATGAACAACACAGAAGATCTTTTTTAACACGAATGAATATTCAACTCACGTTCAATCGGTAGAAACGCGAAATAATTTGTGATTTTTCCGTTATCGTATTTTACCGCAGCCAACTAAAATTAGAAACGGAAGATTAAGTTTCCATGTTTGCTCGTAGGAATCCAACATAGAATAAGGTAATATAGACTTGCGACTTGATTATTCAAGTACTTCGGTAATGAGTTTTTTTTCTTTTTTTTCTGTAAAGAGATAACTGATCTCGATGGAACGCATTCCTTCCTGCTTTCCTTTTTCAGTAGGCTTGAAAACTTGATTGACAGCTATCATTTCACACGTTGGCTGAGATCACATCGAAACGATGGACAAATATGTACATCGTATGTAATTTTACATGATACAGTTGGAAAATGATAATTCCCTTCCAAATTGTTTCCTTTCTGCTATGTAAACTTCTTCGATTTGAGATACGTACAAATTCGATTATTATTTGTTACACGATCATATCACTATACAGAAAGTAAATTCGAATTCAAAAGGAAATCTGCATCTATGCAAATCGAAATTCACTTCCACATACTATGAAGAGTGCATTAAGTTGTTATAACATTCGTCCCATTTTAAAGAGCGAAGTCTTTACTTTGATATTCAAACGTTGAGAAAGAATTTTCTTTTTTGTAGCTTTTTTGTAGATTCGAACAGAGTTATACGATATCAAAGTAATTACCTCCGCTGACGACCACTTCCTTCGCCACGGAAACTCGATGGATCTCTCCATCGTGGACGAATTCCACGCCAACTGCCCTCTTGTTATTGTCGAACAAGATCCTGGTGGCCGTGGAATTGAGCATTATGTGAAGATTCGGTCGATTTTTCGCTGGACGTAAGAATGCCCGGGCCGTTGAAAGTCGCGAACCGTTTCTCGAGGTCGTTTGGGCTATGGCAAATCCGGTGTGAGTTCGTCCATTGAGGTCCGCGACACCGTAACCTGTAAATAATTAGCAAAGACATTTATTTCTTTTGTGTAACAATGAACCAGACTACGCATATTTATGCAAACTTATAGAAAGATTGATATACACATATCATTCTCTTGGGAGGATCCAACAGAAAAAAAGACACGATGTTCGAGCTAACAGAGTAAAAATATTGCAAGAGATGAAAATCTCATTCGTTGATTCGTCATTCATAATTTGGCCAGTGAAAAGGAATTATTTATAGTGCTCTTTCTGATTCGTGATGATGCTGTGCTGTATTCTGTTAAGTACTCATGAATTTCGTCTTAACTGTGTATTACTTTGAATTGCGTTGTTCCTTTAATTAACAAAACAATATCTAATTCCTTTCGAAACTAAATTTTTCGCTTCTTCTGGAAAGTATACTTCTTGGTGCATCTGTTCACGTACTTTTGTTAAATATAATTTTATAAGACTTTGTAAGATCATCATAAGTGTCATTCAGATTTGAAACTTCTCTTCTGTCACTGCGTTTTATCTCAGATCGCAGTCTGTTCATTACGTTTATAACGAAATTCATTTCTACTTACCAATTACCAATTAATCAGTCGTAAACTTCACTCACTTTTAAACAAAGATTGCAAGACCATTCAGAGACTTAAACCTTCCACAATCGTTTCGACTTCGACGTTATTTAAAAAAGGGAGCGGTCGTGTGTTACGTAAAAGCATCATGGGTTCACAAATATCATTTACGACATCAATCCGCTTTTAACTTGTTAACAGCGGATTGATGTCGTTTGTTTCGAAATTCGTTTGCTCTGGAAATTTGGCATCGATCACGAGAATTCAAAGGAGAAAAACCAACGCGCCACTTACGAAGGTACACGTAACAAGGTCGTTTCATTCATTATCGAAATCATGCATCGCCATTGTTAGCGTAGAGCTTCCGAAGAGATGGATGTCGTAATTCACAGATGTGTACCAGAATCCAGCAACTGGTTTTTCGATCGATGGTCAAAACGAGCCATTAAACTCACCGCGAGGAGGAATAACAACTAAATAAAGAAGAAACGAGTTCCTTGTTGCCGCGTAATGACGCGATTAAGTTAAACGCGATTCGAATCAAGCGGCTCGACTCGTTGTTGTCGTTCGAGTTTTTCCTACTTTTTACCCCGACTTTCTCGCGAATTTCGTTTTACTGTAACTGGCGGTAAAC